TAATGAACCGAGTTCGAGCCTTAACGAACTGATCTCGAGCTTTAACGACCGACCTACAGAAAATTATATAAAAATTATCTTATCGAGCCGAGCTCGAACGAGCTTCAAATGAGCTCGAGCCCAAGCCAAGCTGAGCCGGGCTCGTTTAATTTAACAGCACTAATCAAAACGCAAAACGCAACTTTAAAAGAACTTTTCACAGCATTTAAGTGTTAATAATCACTAATATTCAAGATTACACCAAGTGTTTTTACAAACAACATATTTTCTACCCACATAGGTAAAACAACATATAAGAAGGTAGTAGCAATAGTAGTAGTAATAGCAATAATAGCATGTGCTTCAAAGCTAGAAACAACCTTCCCGGCCGCTCACACCAAAATTCAAACGACTCGGTTTCTTATAACATTTCATCCTCAAAAGCACATTTTTCAAGAAAGTCTAGCCTTTTTCGGCTTATGGTGATGATGGCTGGAGAAGGGTAGAAGATGAAGCAAGGGGCTCGTGCACGACCGAGTTTATAGAGACCGAAATCGGGTTCCCTTGTAACTGCAGCATAATGCTTCCCAAAACTTCTGTTAGAAGCTTCTTGAACTCTTCTGCTTTCACGGTTTTCTTATCACCAGCATCAAACATCTTAAGAGCCTCAGTCATGATTTTATCCATCTGCAATAATAATATCATTGTTACCTTCTGTTGCTAACCTCAAAACACTACACTAACATTAAATGACTGAAATATGAAGTCACAGGGAAGAGGGGGCAAAAGAATTCATAAATGGAGATTTAAGTTACCAGCGCATAATACAAGTATACAAAATATATCATTGAAAATTACAATTTTTACAAATTAACATCGTTCGTAACTGCTGTTTGCTGATATAAGCATATATGCAAGGCTGTGGCCATGTGGATATCTTTGTGAGTTGTTATCTTCTTCTGCTTTTTAAAATTTTGTAGGTAAATATAATGATTTGCACAAATTACCCTAACACCGAGGTCCTTTCAAAATTACTCCAAAGTTTGTTCAGAGTGTTGAAATTTAAGCGACCGAACTTACAATTTTTTTTAAAATTAGAAGAGGTTGTTTTGAATATTTTCAACTATATGCATGACCGAACCTCCAAGTCGTCGATCAAACACAAACCTGATCAACAGCGCCAAGAGGAGGCAAGTTGGCAGATGCAGCCACAGAATCAAGTGCAACACTCAAATATTCCTTTGATATCTTCCCATGCCGATCTTTGGGTACGATCTTTAAAGCAGAGTTGAGTGTCTGGAAAAAAAGAGTCGGTAAGAAAATGAAGCAATAGCAAAGTAAAGTGATGAAATATGGAAATTTTCACCAACCTTTTCGAGCTCAAATTTGTTGGACAATAGCCTCTTAATGCCACAGCCATCAAAAGTATTCTGGCTGTGAGCAACAATAGCCGGTTGCTCTTTGAGAATTCGAACCACTTTCTCAGCAGCTTTTTTGAACTCGGCCAAAAATGTCTCCTGTGAAATGGGAAGCTGCTCAAGGGCAGGCCCAAGTGATTCCATAGCAGGTTCAAGAATGTTACTTGTGACCTACGACGGAAGGTACAACAAGCCAGTTTTAACGAGCGAACAGAAGAAAATATACGATACAATTGAATTACAAAAAAACTTAACCAGATAAGAAAATGATAAGTTACAAGAAATAAAAATGAAGAAAGCCCAGAGCCTTATTTCAGATTACAAAACAGTCCATTCTAGTACACTTCAGGTTTGTAGTAGTTTAACAAATACTCTACAACTAGAGATATTTGTGTGAATATTATAACCCTGTTTAACAGATATAGCCTCTATTATTTATGCATTTGGCATTATTGAGGCTCCACTCACTTTCTAAGGGTGTGTTTGTTTATAAATAAACTCAATCCATATTCAATTCATACTAAAAAATCTAGCTCAACTTTAATCCAATCTCACTATCCCCAATATTAACAATATAATTAAATAATATTGCCTCCTTTTTTTTTAAATGTCATTTGGCTTTATCAACAATTAACCAAATAAAGGACATTTTGGAACTTTTGTACATATATTTCTATTATTACCCTCATCTAGCTAATAAATGCATTACGTCTCTTCATACTCACTCTTCATCTTTTCTCATCTCTATCCTCATTGAAATGAATGTGAAGGTTATTATTGGCAAAAAAATGATCCTTAATTATTGTGCAAGTTCTTAAAATGACACTTAATAAGAAAAGGAGAGAGTATCAATCAATCATTCTTACACATCACGTCAACTTTAATTTACTAGTCATAACTTTAACTAATCATCACTTCACGTCATCTCTCTCCTACTTTTTATATCAAAAAATCAGCTTTAATTATTTTATTTCAAATAATATTTTAATATAAACCAAAAATTCCACTAACAACTAATCATACCACCTTTTTCAAAATTAACCATAGTTAACTAAAAAAACTCAGTTAGCATGGATTCTTACCCAAGGATCAGTAGCAGGTGGCATGCCCTGATCAACCGTGAGTTTCTCAAAGGCCTTCACGACACAGTCCCTCAGAGATCCATGTGATGATTCAATTTCCGAAAAAACCGACAGCATTTCTGGTTCGAAGCTTGAACTCTCAACAAACTCACGGAGGTCCTCACCATCTATTCGAAGAATCACAACAGGGTCTCGTTTCAAGCCGGCTGCCATGCCCAGTAGAAAATCTGACAGTACCTCTTTGAACTCAATCTTGCTTATTTTCTCTTGTCTACCATGTGTGAATTCATTAAGAACCTGGACCATATTCATGTTGAGAACGGGGATTGATTTTATATTAGCATATGAGTATGACCAACAAGAATGAAGTAATATCATTACATCAGCATACGTGACATGCGTATATATTCATGATGAAATTAATTTTAGAATCTAACCAGATAAATTTTAAATCTCATGGTCGGCATGAGGATGATGGCTACTGATTGAAAGTTGACACACAGAACCCACAATTTTAATTCTTTTTCTTTTATTTCTTCAAAGCAAAGCAAATAAAAGGGCAATGTCCACATCAAGACTTTAATTGTGGCCAACAAAAAGGCTTTCACCAATAATAACCCATTGTCTTTGAAAATAATCATAAGAAAAAAAGAAAATCAAGATTCTGAGTTCATGAAGATAAAAATATTAACGGCTCTTAACATTTTTTCACCAATGGGTAACTAAATTTACGGAAATGCTATGTCTCGTTACAAAACCATACCGTCGGGATTTGTAACCGTTAGATCATCATGTGACCATCGTGGATAGTTGATCTAACGGTTACAAACCCCGACGGAATGGTTCGGCCGTAGAATCTCCCCTAAATATAATGGGGTCAGAGTTCACCAGCACCACAGCAGCTTAAAGATAATACTGAGTGATTATCCGCTAGATGATTAAACAAAATGAAACCAAGAACAAAAGCTTTGAATAATGTACAATAGATCTCTGGCTTCTTAAAGTTTAAGCAGACATACTAAATTAACAAAAAAAAAAAAAGAAAACACATAAAGCATAGAACTAATATCACCTGAATCTAGTTAACTTATATTGACACACATGAAAACAAGAAGCGTGAACTTAATTCCAAAGAAACCGAATCTAAGATCAGTGTTCCAAGACATGATTAGATGAAAAGTATTAAAGATGTGGATCAAACCAAGGGCTTTCTAGTATGACCGGGTTTTTTCAGTCGGATCACACACACACACAATCGTATGAGTGTGTGTTGATCAAATGGTTAAAAGCCCTGTGTGGGCACTCTTTAATGTTAAAGATACTCTTTCCAATTCATTTCCAGATATAAGAAAAATCTAATGCAATTACTCCACAGAAGCTATAAAAAGCTATAAAACAGTAAAAGGTTGATAGGTGGCATGTAATGAATTCTGCACAAATTGATTTGCACAAAGGGCCTGTTATACTTCCCCTGCAAAGTTATAGAAGTGACAAACACTGAAAGTTCTTACAGTGTGTAGACATATACTACTCGAGAACTACTTATCAACACGACCTTCTAGTCCTTCCACGTGGAAGGAAGTCCGTCTATTCACTTGCCAATCCATCCCAACCATTGGAGATGCTCTTTAATTCTCAAATTCAAGATAACAATCTTGATACAAAATTCTTAAATTCAAGATAACAACCTTGAGCACTCCAAGATTGGAAATATTCACAAAATTTAACAAAATCTCAATCCCAACTACCAGTATAAAGAATCTATCAGAACGACCACTTCATAGCCCAATTAAACCAAACCAAANNAAAAAAAAAACAAAACAAAGGACAGGCGCGAATAAAATAAAGCGGTGAGCCAAAAATCACAACCCACGCAAACGAAACAGCCATTTTACAAAAAAAGGAAAAGAAAATCGAGAAAAACGATAGTCGCAGATGGGAAAAAAGGGGGTTTCTGAAGAAAACCTCAGAGTAAATATGATCGGACTCCGGCGAAGTCCCCTGTGCCGGCAAGCCAAGGGCGGCACCGATATCCTCAACGGCGGGCTGCAGCTCCTTCACCGACAGCTTCCCGTCGCGGTCGCCGTCGAGCTCCTCAAACTTGTGGTCCACAAACTCGTTGAAGACTCTCTCGTTCCCAACCAACTCCATTATATTCGAGCCGTCCATCACCTCACGGCTGCTTTTGTCCTCCTCCGTCAGGTCGCCGCTGGGCTTCTGCATCGTTCGTCTCTAGATAAATCTACAGAAGAAAAAGCCTCCACCCACCCAACTCCTACCAGCTGTCTATCAGCTTTTTCTTGAATTAATGCAGATGTGAAAGGGAAGGGTTTTAGCCTTTTTAGCTTTCAGGTGAAGTTCTTGTGACTGTGTGCAGGGTTTTCGGTTTGCTTTGTTGGCCAGACAATTTTATCCGTTGGCATTTATATATACGACTGGTTTTTATGGTAAGCGACTGCGTGTAGAGAGAGAGAAGGGTCTGGATAAAGTTGTGGGCAATTTCGTCCGTGAAAAGGACGATTATATTATATAAATTTGTGGTGATTTGAGGAGTGATCGTCAAAATAGAATTGATTGTTCACACTTAATCTACTAGCCCGTACGATAAAAAAAATATTAGGATTGTATTATAAATTAAATATATAAATAGTATTAATCATGATTTATTTATTGTATTTAAATTAAATTTGATTAGACACAGTCCAACTAAATGTATAAACAGTGGAGTTCGCTTGAATAAAACATTTGCTACTTTTTTTCTTAAATACTAGAATTCAACGAGAGAACACCTCAAAAAAGTCTAAACACCGAACACCTAAAAAAAGTCTAAACACCACGACGCATTAATAATAAGAGCATTTGCATCTTATACCTACCATTCATATAATCACCAACTACAATCACTCTCGTCCAATTAAATATTTTTTTATTTAAACACTCTCCCACATTGATTAAATCATTTAAATGCAAATATGTGAGACTCATTGTCCATTCATTTAATATAACTTCTAATATTCTATTCTTAATAAATTGAGTGGGCCATTTGTACACCAATTATTCTTGTCCAATATTTTCAATGGATGCAGTGAGTCATTCATTTACTCAATCAAATGGATAGCACAATGGGTTAAACACTCTTCAATACATTTAATCTGGGTGTTCCAATTTTTCACGGGAGAGTCACTCGATCCACATATTCTCATATTGTGGAGAAAATAGAAACGCGGCTTAATGGCTGGCGCATGAAGACTCTTTCATTAGCAGGTAGGGTGACCCTTACTCAATCTGTTCTACACTCGCTACCATACTTCACAATGCAAACGGCTCTACTCCCAGTTACGACTTCCGAGGGTCTGGCGAGAAGGTCTCGCGCCTTTGTGTGGGGTGGAACGTGTGACCACAAGAGGGTGCACCTGGTCGCGTGGAAAGACTTATGCAAACCACGTGAGGAAGGTGGGTTGGGATTACGAGATCTTCGTCGAATGAATAAGGCATTACTCACGAAACTTGGATGGGGCCTCCTGACGAAGCCAACAGCTCTATGGGTGTGTGTCCTTAAGGCTAAATACGGGTTGGACTTCTCCAGCGGGGTGCATGCAGTTACGTGGCGCGAAGGATCCTCCTTAATTCGCGCCATCCGGACGGTGTGGCCGAACGTTTTGAAAGGAATGCGATGGAAGGTGGGAAATGGTGAAGCCACCCGTTTCTGGCTAGACCTATGGCTTGGGTCGGAGGAAGCTCTGATCACGTGATAGGTCGGAAAATATGCATGTTTTATATATTTAATAGTGTATTTTTATATGCTTAATTTATTCGCACTTATATATTTTTCGACTTATTTATTTTTGGATGGATCTATGTGCTTTTATATTTTTATTATTCATTTTCAGAATATTGAAGTATTTCGTGGACGTGGAGCAATGGAAGGAAGTTGACGCGATCAATTATTGGGCACCAAATTCTAAACCCATTAAGTCCATGATTATAATTTATTGAAATATTAATGTGGGCTAAGTATTAGACTTACGTGGACCAAAGTTTGAAGATAACTGCATGGCCCAACATTAGGCAATGAAGAGTTTTTATTTTGTGGTTGGAGACCTAATCGTATGGGGGGAGAATATTTTTAATTTTCTTTTATCTTCGGCGAAGGAAGAATTACACAAAAGGAGGGAGTTGGGATTTATTTTCTGAGCCGCCACACATATAGCCACGCAGAGGAGAGGACAGAGGAAAATGCGAGAAGCCCGACGGAAGCGGAGGGAGACCGCACTCGTACACGAAAGGGGATAATTCTATTCTCTTTCTTTTATTTTTATTTATTATGTTAGGCTAGTTTTTATTTCTAGTTCCGGGGATGTCGAACCCTACATACTTGATGATGTTTATTAATTTATGGTTGATTATTGAGTTATCTTTTTGGAATTGTTTGTGTTATTTTGAATAATTAACTATGATGTGTTGAGTCTTATTTAGATTGATCACCTAGATTAGGCTTTACATATCTACACCTGAATTATTTGTTTGTCCCATTTTTGTGTCTTTATTTTGGGTTTATTTTGTCTTTATTTTTCCCCACGTTTAGGATTTTCGTAGTTTATTTGGTCCAATTCTGTGATTTTTCTGTTTTTCTCTTTAGTTCGTTTTGTGCGTCTTTTTGCTGTGTTTTGCTTCGTGTTTTCTTCGTGTTTGTGTTTTCAGGAGGTAGGTTGTGTTGATCGAGGACGGGACTACTTGAGCTGAGACCGGGATATCAAAAAGACCCATTGACGTGCTCAGAATACTGAAGGAAGGACCGAAAAAGACGGACCGAAAAGCTGCCCAGCATTTCTCACGACTCGCGAGTCTGAGTCGCGACTCGCGAGATGGTCGCGACTCGCGAGAATGTCACGACTCGCGAGTCCGACAGAGCCGAGTTAATGGTTTTCGCGAGACGAGTCGCGACTCGCGATCCTTTGTCGCGACTCGCGAGACCTGTCGCGACTCGCGAGACCTGTCGCGACCTTCCCCAGAAAATAAAGATATTTGAAGACGCGCGACTCGCGAGATGTCGCGACTCGCGACCTGAAGGAAAGTGAAAGTCGCGACTCGCGACCTACGCGGCGCGAATTTCGAGGTCGGGATTTTAACATCAGAATTTCGACCTAGACATTATCATTCACATTCCAGACCTTGTTTTTGTTAGAGTAGTATACCCAGAGTTCCAATTTGATTGGACGTATTCTACTTGTAAATACGATCTATTGGAATTATATTGTTAATAAGGCATTTCTTTATCTTAAGAGTAAGCATTTATCCTATAATTGCACTTAAGATAAAATCCCTAGATCACTTATGGTTATAAGATATGGTTGCGCATAGAGATGGTAATCATGGAACATATCTTGAAAGCCGTGATCTTAAATAAAGTTCCAATTCGATGGATGTTTCGAGATGGGATATCGAATAATCTATAAAAGAATTGCACATAGTATGTATGCTTGTTTGGACAAGAATGTTGCATTCCATCAACATTAGCGTGGGACGCAAGTACATATATGTGGGTGCTTGTTAGAGAACAAGTTCACTGAACATGACCGTATGAAAATACTTAATGAAAGAATTGTCTTGTTGAATAAGTATTTTCATGTTACAATAGTACATGATTGATCCTTAGACTTGAGGCACAATGGTAACTTTGTACATATTACATTATACTTTGATTTATCCTTTTGGTTGCTAGCACAATCGTATAAAGGGATATTTTGGGTATTATGTTAATATGTATGGAAGTTTGTTAGTGGCCAACAAAGGATTCGACACTTATGAAGATAAGTGAATTTCCTATGTATTTCATAGTTAGTAATTCAAAGTCCTTGGCCAAGGCGGAATGAATGGAGATTCATACACGAATTACTAAATATGAAATAGAATCATAGTTATTAAATCAATTTGGGTTTCGACTAAAATCATACCCAAGATTTAATGGGGAAATTGGATGTCGAAAGGATTTTACATGTATGTAATTGTAATTGAAATAGGTTTACTCGCTATTCACTTAATACTAGATTCATGCTACTTGCTAGGTGTTCCCATGATATGTGGGTTCATGAATTAAGGAGTTAATTCATGAATAAGAGTTAATAAAGATTAACTCAAATTACAAAGAGTTGTAAACCCACTACTAGTATTAATTGTGAACCTAAAAGGTCACACCAATTTTTGAATGAAGGTAAAATTCAAATAGTAATTCTAAAGAGTTAGAATTAATTGACTAATCTAATTTGATTAGATGTCAATTTAATAGAATATATTAAATTAATCAATTGGATTGATTAATTGAATTTTGGATATTAATTAAGTAATTAATGTAATTACTAATTAATAGTTGAAATTTAAATTGGATTTTAAATTTCAAATCCAAATAATAATATGATTATTAAATAAGGAAAATGGAAGAAATGATTAAAATAATAAAGTCTTGAAAAATGATTTCAAGATTTATTATTTTAATGTTTTATTATTTTATCTTTAATATGATTAAAGATTAAAAATAATTGTGAATATAATAAATGGTGGTTAAGAGAGGTTAGGGAACCACTCTACATTGTTTATTATATAAAAGTCAATAGTTAGTAAATCATATTTAAATAAAATCTGATTTTATTTAAATATTACTAATTATTGATTATATTATACTAAAAAGTTTAGTATAAATATGTGTAAAGAGTTTACACAAAAATGCTAAGTCATTTGCTAAGTTTTCTTCCAAAATTTTCAAGTGTTGAAAAAGAGAAAAAAAGAAAGTGTTCTTCATAATCTAAATCAAGAAAGAGTTCTTGAATTTAGAATTTAAGTTCTTGAGAAAATTTTACAAAAGAGTTTTGTAAAATAAATTCAAGAGTTGAATTAATTCTCTTAAACAAGAAAAAGTTCTTGTTTTGAACTTAATCTTGAGAAAAAGATTTGATCTAAATTATCAAGAAGATTTATTCAAGTGTTGAATAATTTCTCAAATATTTCCTTATAAAATATATATATATTCTATACTATTGAAAACCGATACTTTTCTACTAGCGAAGAAAGAGGCTATCGGAACCCGACTTCAAAAGGTGGATACGTTTAGAGGGAAGACAAGTGGATTCCTAAGCGAGTAACCACAAGCACAAGAAAGAAGTGAAGTGACGTTACCAATCCGGGAATCGATTCCCTCAATCTATCTTCGATTTTGAAGGAGTTCAAGA